AAATATGTCCTCTGAGTCTGTTGAGATGAGATAAGACAGAAGGACAAGATGTGAGGTAATACAAATGTCTAGTAGCTGCATACTGTAAGCTAAAAGAACCCTCTAAAGGTGAGGGAGAGGTCAGATCAGTGCAGATCACAGGGACCCCGTGCTTTACTTCTGAAATCTGTGCCCTCCACATATTACCACCCATCTCTAAGACCACCTTCCACCTCCTTCCACGACCCATGCTACCGGGCCTGTCTTTTCTGGGAAATTAAAAAAACACATGGTATGAAGTTCACTTGCCCATCTGTAATTACGATTATTGGCTCACATCGTGGTGTCTACAGTGTGCCTGCCCTGTGTTCCTGCATTAGCACTGGTCTCACTGACCCCTCGCAACAACCTGGGGAGGCAAGTCCTAGGATGAGCTTTATTCTAATGCCTCAGAAAATGGAAGCATTAAGAGGTTAAATGACTTTCTGCCCCATTACATGGGTAGTGAGGGAGACAGGACTCCACCACCAGGGACTGGTGGTCATCCCCATCCAGTGTGGCTGGGGCTCATGTTAACACAGAACTGGAAGGGAATATAGACATCATCTAATGATAAGAGTCTTTCTTCCATTCAACAGTAGAGAAAACTGAGGCAGAATCAACTGGATCGAGCTCTCTCCTCTGAGGGCAGAGAGCCCGTGACTTCTCCACCACAGCCTTTATCTCTGAGCTGTCGCATCTCAGGCTCAGAGCTGGACTACAGACTTTCCTCAGCCAATCTCATCACTGCCCACTGCTTCCCCAACACCACCCTCCCACAGGCTGATTTCCCAGTCACCTCTGGCTTTGCTAGATTTTCAAGTGCAAAAAAAACTTAGAAGCTACCCCTTTCTGAGGACCTACTAAACACTAGGCTCATCAACCCTCACATCACCCCTAGGCAGCAAGTGCTATTATTATGTCTATTTTAGAAATGAAAAGGTTAGCCCAGAGCACTTTAATTATTTGGCCAAGTCACATAGCTAGTAAGTGGCAAGCTGTCGGTTAGCGGCGGCCTGCAAAAACAGGGAACGTTTATTAACAGCACCCGTTCTAATCTTTTCCCCGTTATGTTCACACTGCCCCCGCTGCCTACACCCAGCCGTGCAGGTAGACATGGGGTGTACTTGACCAACTCCAGGCTCACCATCCTGTCCTGCAAGCTGAGGTCAGACATGATTCAAAGGCAGGACGAATATAAAGCCAGCAGTTTGTAGAGCTAGTTCTCATCATCTACCACAGGCCTGGACCAACTCTCCATCTAGGGCCCCAAATTCTTCTATTGACCTAAAAGTTCATGCAATCAATTCCCCACTGAAAGAAGAGGTTCAAGCTCCTCCCCAACCCCAACCCCAAAATGTCCCCACACATTAAGGTCTAGCAGTGCCCAAATTTCTTTGGGTTAAGCTGTGATGCATGAGTTTGCCTGTGAAGACCTGAGAGCATCATAATTCAAGAAAGGCAGAGGGCAAGCTGTGCGACATTCCTGAGATAACTGAAAGTGACCCATAACTCACCAGCCACCACGGGAAATTCTATCACTTTGCACACTTTGCTTCCATAGCTAAAAATCAAATCAGAGGAACATGATCAGACTTCTAATTTGAAACCTCGGACATGCAATGTCATCTTTAATGACTCCCAGCAAAAGATGCTCATTACAGATCTCAGCCTACCTAAATTAAAACATGAAACCTAAAAATTAAGCAGAAAATTCTCAATTTCTCAGGTCTGTAAGGCCACAGAAAAATCACACAAGTGGGAATACACATACTCCTTAGGGTTTTGTTATGCATGCAAATATCTGAGCAGGAATTAAATGAAAGAAAAGAGCTAGAAGGGAAAAAAAATAAACAAACAAACTCATCAGGTCCTAACTTTCAGGTCTGGGCCATCTGGGTGAATAGCAATTTTTCATGACCAATTTGAACTAGCAGATCAAGGAACATTATCTCTCTGCTGATGGCCAATTTCATCTGTTCTATGATGTAGAGTTCAGATTCCTCTGATACGGTAGGCTGCTGGCTTCAAGTCTTCTCTCACTGTTAAGTGGACTGAAATATGCTGCAATCAGTCAGCATGGTGTTCAGGTGTGTAAACTGCCTTTAAAATGGGAGGCTAGGGGCGCCTGGGTGGCTCAGTCAGTTAAGCTTCTCCCTTCGACTCAGGTCATGATCCCCGGGTCCTGGGATCGAGCCCCACATCGGGCTCCCTGCTCAGCGGGGAGACTGCTTCTCCCTCTCCCTCTGCCCCTCCCCTGGCTTGTGCTTTCTCTTGCCACTCTCTCAAATAAATAAAATCTAAAATAAATAAACAAACAAACCTCATTCAGTGTGGACTTTCTAGAAGATCAGGTAACCACTAGATAATCTGCGAAGACTATTTTTAAATTTCTTCCCTCCACTTCCCATCCACCCTTCCCTTTGTGTCACTGGATGACTGGCTGCCACTGCCCAGAATAATGGGCACGGTCCCCTTTCACATCTGTTCATGACTCAGTTCTTCCCGGACCTATATCCAGGAAGAGGAGACAATTCCCTGGCTGCAGCAAGACCTCGATAGATGGCCTAGAATTATTAATGTAAAGCTAGATGCAAATAGAAACTACAAATTCAAAACTTTATTTTCCCTCAATGTGCATTTCACAGAGAAAAGTTAGAGAGTGGGGACCAGGGCTGCTGTAGGGTCAGGCTACCAGATCCTGAATGGGAACATGGTAAACTTCCTCTAAAGGATGGAGGAATATATGCAAACAGTGTAAAAGAGAAGTTATAATTTTTATTTTTTCAATTCAAAACTACTTCTTCAGAGCCTTAAGTTGTGCACTGTAGCGCAGAGTTGACCTCCCTTCCCAAATTCAACTACTTAATGTGGAACGCTCACTGTGTACAAACAACAAAGACCAAGGTGTTTCTAAGTATAACTGGCAAACTGGAAAACCTTTCAGCAAACCAAAAACCGTGAAGGGGAAAATCTACACCCATGTAAACTGGGGAAAAAAAAAAAAAAAGCCAGGATAAAAGTCTAGGTCACCCCCAGGAAAGACCATGTTTGTCATTCTGTCACACACTCTCGTAAACACGTCCCCCTAGGACCGCCTCACTCCCAGGGCTCACCCTAGAGCTTCTAGCTCACAGCAACTTTTATGACTCTCTCACCCACATCTGTCTTAAAACTTTAACTGGAGTCTACACCATTTGAGTCTAGTTCTAATCGAAATGACAAAGGACTTGGCAGATATGCTCTCTCTGCCTTTGCTGTGTATAGACAACAGAGGGTACTGGACCAAAAAACAATTAATTAATAAAGGAGAAGAAGACAACTACTCTGAATGTGAAATACAGTCAACAGTCTAAACTGCCTCCTGTGACAATCAATGGGCTGAGATCTATGGACAAGAAGCCTGGGGCCAGCATGCTTGCCCAAGAGTCATGGGTTTTCATTACACCAACTGACACGAGAAGCCCTTTAGAAGAATATGCTTCCTAAGAACTGCATTAGGGCAAGCATTCACAAGGAGGCAGAGGAACCATGCTAGGTGCACACCAGTCACCAGTGACATGACCCCAAATCATGCTGGGTCCCAACCCATTTATTCAGTAAATTAATTTTATGAGTAGGTTAACAGAGCCTCCCAACCAGGTTCACCTTTTAACCAAGAACCACCCTGTGTCTCCCTGGCTAGAAAGAACCCCTTTGCCAGCATTCTCCAAGCCTGCCATTACAACTAGGCAACCTATGACATTTGATGAAGTAATTAAGGACAAATCAAAGCAATTATCTAACATTACTTGCAATAACCATATGAAATTTCTAATCCCAAGAAGCAAACTGAACCAATAATAAAATGTATTTACAGAGGCTTTTAATTCAGCATCTATTATCAGTTGCCATGGAAAACTAGAATGTTGCAGGCTATCCAGCCCTTTTTTAATAGCAACATTAGATATGGTAATATTCACTGAGCTCTTCCTCCCTGGGTCCTGGCTCTTCTGCCTACAGAGATGAAATATAAGGCCGAAGGCGCCATGTGAATGAGCCAGAACAGCAACTCTGAGCAGGGCCGATGCTGGGGTGGAGGAAATGAAGGTGTCCAAGACATGCTGACCCCCACGACTGTGCAGGTCCCCAGGCTGAGCTTCCTCCATTAGGTGTGCAATTGCAAAAGCAAGCCCTGTCACTTGTTACATACTGGAAGTGATAAGAAACACACAGCAGCAAGCAAGCCCATCTGGAGAACAACAAGCAGAAACAGCAGGGGGGCTGAGGGATCCTTTGGAACAAAAGCTCCAGGCCAGCCATATATTTATGGGGCAAAATCAAGAAAAGTAAAAAAAACTCAGAAAACACATCTGTCTGTCCATGTGCACCAGATATAGGAATAATAAAAGGATAAAAAGCTAACATTTACAAACATCTACAATGTGCCAAATGCCTTAAATTCATCAGCTTATTTAATATTCAAAACAACTCTTGAATATGGGTATTATCAACCTCACTATTATTATTGCCACTTAAGAGAGAAGAAAACTGAAACTTAGAGAAATTTATTATATCGTCCCAGATCTGGGAGCTAGTAAATGCCAACAGGGACTAATGCTATTATCCTAATTCTATTGTTTTTAATTGACAGTCCCACATATACAGAGATCATTTTCAAGAAAAACAGAGCAATAAAATAATACATTGCTGCATATCCCAAGTTAGTAAGAAACCATCTACACATCACCCTATGTGCATTTGTACAAAGACCTGGAGAGAAATTTTCTTATCTCACATATCTTCACAGCCTGGCAGTAATTTTGAGCAGTTCAGAAAGCACAGATTGTCATCCTATTAGACAGATGAAGAAACCCAAGTGCCAAACGTGGCTTGAGTGAGGGACAGAGAAAGGACGGTGGCCCAAACCGTTTGAAGCTCACCAAGCCATGGCTCCTCCCACTGGACATCCCCAGAGGGCTTTAATAAACCAAACTACTGACCTCCACATGCCAGTGAAACTGAACATGGTGCTCACACAGCGAGGTAGGGGCGGCGGCGTGAGTCCATCCAGGCGCATGAGCAGAGCTGGGACACCGAAGAGCACCAAGTACTTCAGATAGAAGAAGAGCACGTGGGCCAACGCCAGTCCTCCTGAAAGACAGAGGGAGCCATCAGACACAGAGCTAAGCAATGGAGCAATCTCCTGCTCCTGAAAAATACACCACCTGCTCCCACTTCTCCACCCGTCCCCTTTCATTCCCTTACCTCACACGTTACTAAAGTTTCCCGCATTGGTTTTGAGCAGTAAGAATTCTGGATGAGCAAATATTGAAATATCCTTTATTACTGTGACAGGCAATAGGACATCTTAGCAGTCATGCTTTTACAGACACTACATTAAAAGTGTTTTATATATTTATGCATTTAAATTATATATACTTATATAAATTTATATATACAAGTATATATAATGGATTTAAAAACTACTAGAAAGGGAAAATCCTCTCCAAATCCTTCCAAAACCTCATGAGCTCACACCCACTAGTATGGCTAATTCAAAAAGTCAGATCAACACGGGTTGATGAAGATGTGGAGAAATTGGAACTGTCATACACTGCTGGCAATAAAGCAAAATGGTGCAGCCACTTTGGAAAACTGCTTGGCATTTCCTGAAATGAATAAACTTAAAGTTACCATATGACCCGGCAATTCTACTTTTGGTATATACCCAAGAGAAAAGAGAACAGATGTCCACCCAGAAACTTATACCCAAATATTTGTAGTGATATAATCAACAGCAGCCAAAAGATAGAAATAACCCAAATATCCATCAACAGATAAACAAAATGTGGTCTATCCATACAATGGAATATTATGCTGCCATGAAATGGAATGAAATAGTGACACAAGCTACAACATGGATGAATCTTGAAATATCATGCTAAGTGAAATAAGCCAGTCATGAAAGATCACATATTATATTCCATTCATATGAAAGTCCAAAATAAGGTAACAGAGACAGAAATAGAAAGGTGATTAGTGGAGCATGGGTGCAGTTTGTGGTGTGGGTGCTGTCTGTGGCATCATCAGAATCTGAATCTTGAATTTTCTTAGGAGAGCATCTGGGCTTCAGAGTTCTTACCAGTGTTTATTTTTCTGGGGTCGATGTTAGTTACCCTGTTAGCATTTTGTTCTCTCATTCATCTATTCTCCTCTGGACAAAATGACAAGATGGAAAACTCACCTCAAAAAAAAAAAAAGAACGAGAGGCAATACTGACCGACTGCCAGGGACCTAATCAATACAGACATTAGTAAGATGTCAGAACTAGAGTTCAGAATGACGATTATAAAGATACTAGCGGGGCTTGAAAAAAGCATGGAAGATACGAGAGAAACCCTTTCTGGAGAAATAAAAGAACTAAATCTAAACAAGTCGAAATCAAAAAGCCTATTAATGAAAAGCAATAAAAAATGGAGGCTCTAACTGCTAGGATAAATGAGGCAGAAGAGAGAATTAGTGATACAGAAGACCAAATGATGGAGAATAAAGAAGCTGAGAACAAGAGAGATAAACAACTACTGGATAAGGAGGGCAGAATTCCAGAAATAAGTGACACCATAAATGAAACAATATTAGAACAATTGGGATCCCAGAAGAAGAAGAAACAGAGGGGCAGAAGGTATATTGGAGCAAATTATAGCAGAGAATTTCCCTAATGTGGAGAAAGAAAGAGGCATCAAAATCTAGGAGCCACAGAGAACCCCCCTCAAAATCAATAAAAACAGGTCAACACCCCGACATCTAATAGTAAAACTTATAAGTCTCAGAGACAAAGAGAAAATCCTGAAAACAGCTTGGGAGAAGAGATCTGTAACCAACAATGGCAGAAATATTAGATTGGCAATAGACCTATCCACAGAGACCTGGCAGGCCAGAAAGGACTGGCATGATATCTTCAGAGCACTAAATGAGAAAAATATACAGCCAAGAATACTATATCCAGCTGGGCTGTCATTGAAAATAGAAGGAGAGACAAAAAGCTTCCAGGACAAACAAAAACTAAAAGAATTTGCAAACACGAAACCAGCCCTACAAGAAATATTGAAAGGGGTCCACCAAGCAAAGAGAGAGCCTAAAAGTAATCTAGACCAGAAAGGAACAGAGACAATATACAGTAACAGTCGACCTTACAAGCAATATAATGGCACTATATTCATATCTTTCAATAGTTACCCTGAATGGAAATAGGCTAAATGCCCCAATCAAAAGACACAGGCTATCAGATTGCTGTCTGCAAGACTCATTTTAGACCCAAAGACACTTCCAGATTGAAAGTGAGGGGGTGGAAAACCATTTACCATGCTAATAGACATCAAAAGAAAGCTGGAGTGGACTCCTTGACCTTACTCTCCCGCAGTCACCACCGAACCTGGCGCGGGCTGGCGGGGGGTCGGCGGGGACCATGGGTGCCTCGGCCTCCCGGGGCCGGCCCGCCCGGGTCCCCGCGCCGGAGCCCGAACCCGAGGAGGCGCTGGACCTGAGCCAACTGCCACCGGAGCTGCTCCTGGTGGTGCTGAGCCACGTGCCCCCGCGCACCCTGCTGGGGTGCTGCCGCCGGGTGTGCCGGGGCTGGCGCGCCCTGGTGGACTGCCAGGCCCTGTGGCTGCTCATCCTGGCCCGGGACCACGGCGTCCTGCTGCCGCTCGCCCGCAGCTGCCTGCCCCCAGCCCGTGACGGCAGGCGCAGCCTCCTGGGCCGCTTCTGCGAGCGCCGCCCGATCGGACGCAACCTCATCCGCAACCCCTGCGGCCAGGCTGGCGTCGCAAAAAGCAGGTGTTGGACCTGGAGGAGGAGGGTTTGTGGCCAGAGCTGCTAGATAGTGGCAAGATTGAGATTTGTGTCTCTGATTGATGCCAACCAGACTGTCCTGGATAAATTCTCTGCTATGCCTGTTCCCATCCAACAGTGGAACAACAATGTCTGCTTTCAGAGAATTTGAAATATATACAGAAGCAGAGAGAAGAGTATTCTAAAGATGTATCTACTCCCCAGCACCAATTTTATCAGATTATGGCCAGTCTTCAGCCCACATCCCCATCGATTCTCCCCTCTTCCATATTGTTTTTTTTTAATACTTTTTTATTTTGAAACAATCTTAAATGTAACAGAGAAGTTATAGGTATGTCACAAAGCCTTTTCCCCCTGAAACAAATAGTACATTTTCAGCATCACTGCAAAAAAAAAAAAAAAGAAAAGAAAGCTGGGGTGCCAATCCTTATATCAGACAAATTAGATTTTAAACCAAAGACTATAATAAGAGATGAGGAAGGACACTATATCCTACTTAAAGGGTCTATCTAACAAGAAGATCTAACAATTATAAATATCTATGCACCTAACATGGGAGCAGCCAATTATATAAGCCAATTAATAACAAAAGTGAAGAAACACAATGACAACAATACAATAATAGTGGGGGACTTTAACAACCCCCTCACTGAAACGGACAGATCATCTAAGCAAAAGATCAACAAAGAAATAAAGACTTTAAATGACACACTGGACCAAATGGACTTCACAGATATATTCAGAACATTCCATCCCAAAGCAACAGAATACACATTCTTCTCTAGTGTCCATGGAATATTCTCCAGAATAGATCACATCCTAGGTCACAAATCAGGTCTCAACTGGTACCAAAAGATGGGGATAATTCCCTGCATATTTTCAGACCACAATGCTTTGAAACTAGAACTCAATCACAAGAAGAAAGTCGGAAAGAACTCAAATACACAGAGGCTAAAGAGCATCCTACTAAAGAACAAATGGATCAACCAGGAAATTGAAGAAGAATTTAAAAAATTAATGGAAACAAATGAAAATGAAAACACAACTGTTCAAAATCTTTGGGATGCAGCAAAGGCAGTCCTAAGAGGAAAGTATATAGCAATACAAGTTTTTCTCAAGAAACAAGAAAGGTCTTAAATACACAACCTAACCCTACACCTAAAGGAGCTGGAGAAAGAACAGCAAATACAACCTAAACCCAGCAGGAGAAGAGAAATCATAAAGATCAGAGCAGAAATCAATGAAATAGAAACCAAAAGAACAGTAGAACAGATCAACAAAACTAGGAGCTGGTTCTTTGAAAGAATTAATAAGATTGATAACCCCTGCCCAGACTTATCAAAAAGAAAAGAGGAAGGACCCAAATAAATAAAATCATGAATGAAAGAGGAGAGATCACAACCAACACCAAAGAAATACAAACAATTACAAGAACATATTATGAGCAACTCTATGCCAGCAAATCAGATAATCTGGAAGAAATGGATGCATTCCTAGAGCTGTATAAACTACCAAAACTGAACCAGGAAGAAATAGAAAATCTGAACAGACCCATAACCACTAAGGAAACTGAAGCAGTCATCAAAAATCTCCCAAAAAGAGTTCAGGGCCAGATGGCTTCCCAGGGGAATTCTACCAAACATTTCAAGAAGAATTAATACCTATTCTTCTGAAACTGTTCCAAAAAATAGAAATGGAAGGAAAACTTCCAAACTCATTTTACGAGGCCAGGATTACCTTGATCCCAAAATCAGACAAAGGCCCCATCAAAAAGGAGAATTACAGACCAATATCCTTGATGAACATGGATACAAAAATTCTCACCAAAATCCTAGCCAATAGGATCCAACAGTACATTAAAAGGCTTATTCACCATGACCAAGTGGGATTTATCCCTGGGCTGCAAGGTTGGTTCAACAGCTGCAAATCAGTCAATGTGAAACAATACATTAATAAAAGAAAGAACAAGAACCGTATGATCCTCTCAATAGATGCAGAAAAAGCATTTGACAAAGTACAGCATCCTTTCTTGATCAAAACTCTTCAGAATATAGGGAGAGAGGTTACATACCTCAATATCATAAAAGCCATCTATGAAACACCCACAGCAAATATCATTCTCAATGGGGAAAAACTGAGAGCTTTCCCCCTAAGGTCAGGAATGCGGCAGGGATGTCCACTATCACCACTGCTATTCAACATAGTACTAGAAGTCCGAGCCACAGCAATCAGACAACAAAAAGAAATAAAAGGCATCCTAATTGGCAAAGAAGTCAAACTCCCGTTCTTTGCAGATGATA